TAGCTAGATTACAGGAGCTCGCCGCAACTCCCAGCCACTTCCGTTAAGATTAAGTACACTAATAAACTTCACTTACATCCTTCGACCGCAAGACAGGGTTGCAGTATTACACAATTACAAACGGCAAATCAGGATAAAATAATCAATTTACGTTGATTGTCTATTGACGACTACGTATATCAGTGTTTTGACTGGAATAGGGATCAACGTCCATTCGACACGAATTCGACGTTTTCGGGACTAGCATATGGTTTAATTTTATTTCAGTAATTTAGGTGTGAGTATGGATATTTAGCAGTTGGATGAAACTCGAGGGCCCAGAGATAACCCACGAGTCCTTTCCACGTGCAAGCTGAGATCGAAACCACGCCACTTGGGTTAATGATAGACCTTATAATCCATTTAAAGCAGGGGTTCGCCATTCCAGACCAAATGTGATTTGAGACCGGAAACACTCGTATTTGTAGTTATCTCCCTGCTATTACAAACCTGAATAAATTAACATTCCATATGGTAGACTGATTCAATGAGAACTTGAAGCCACGAATTGAATTAGCGAAGTCAAATCTGAATACATTGAAAACAATTTGGGCTGGGTTGATGTAAAAATGTAAAATGGCTGGGAAGATGTGTTAAAAAGGAATGGGTTCGATTATTTTGAACGGGCTACTAACACATGCCTATTCACAGGTGCGATCCCACTACTGCCGGACACGGGGACCTTTGCCTGCTGCATTTCTGCCCTGGGCCGGTTCGTCCCTCCTTAGACAACCTGGATACTACGGGCTCCCCCATTGAATCCATATTGACGCCTGGCTTAGTGCGGACACCTGATCGACATAGAACACCTGAGAGCAGGAATCCCATTCTCAAACCGTTCTCCATTCCAGGCCTCTAAGTAGCTAGATTACAGGAGCTCGCCGCAACTCCCAGCCGGTAAATATTATTTATAACACCCCAATAAACCGTAAGTTTGGCTCCTTGAAAGGACTTGCCTTCCAGTGGCCTCACTAGTACGACGTGAGGCTGTTCCTCTCTCCTTTTTGCCGCAGGAAAGAACTTCGGTGCAGGGCTGCTGTAAAAAGCGTCAGCCATGGACATGGGTGCGATAGCCTCTGTCGATTGTCATCGTTCTTATGCTGCCGAAAGATACAATCGAAAACAAAAGGAGGGACTGAACAGTTTTGATTAAAGGCTCAATACCACTCTTGTTGTAACTGAATAATATGTCCCAATCTTTATTCTGGTCAACAAATTGTACTATTTTACAATATTTCAATTAATTGATGATACAAATTTCATCTTAACACACCTTATTTAAAAATTTTGAAAAATTCAACATAATGGTTTGAAACGTCTAACGTAAACCTTTTCAAATGAAACTTCGATTTAAAAATGTTTTCGAACCCTCTGGACAAGTAAAAATAGGATGTAATGGATAATTTACACAACAGGTAGGACACTTAAACATCTTGTACTTAGATAGAGATATTATTTATTTTCTGGAGCTTTCAAGCCAGCAAGAGTTTTATTGTCCCTTTAAGGATGTATTCTGTCGTTAATTATTGACGTAAGCTGATATACCTGTTGTTACCCCTTTCCACAAAGAAGCGCTAGTCAATCAGTGTTATTAATACTAATTAACTATGGGTTCCTATTGCTTGTATGTGTGTACTTAACAGTTATCAGGTTTGTTAGCTATAGAAATGAATTAGCTTGTTATTGTTTTAAGAAGCTTGTGACGAGTTCAATCAGTTGATTGGCTTGTACACTGAGCTTCTTTGTTAGTAGATGATAGGAAGAAAAGTAAAATGATTAAATAGATACAGAATAGAGAAATAAATAAAAATAAATAAATAAATAAATAAAGTGGTATATAGAGTTGAAAAAGGGGTAAAAAGCAGTAACAAAAAATAGATTAGATTAGGAGTGGACAAAATATGAAATAGAAAGAGAATTTAAGAAAATAAGCTTATATCTAATATATAGAAATAAGGTAAAAATAATATTCTAACAATAAAGCACTGAGGAAGGAGGTAAGGAAAAGAAAATAAAGTAAATTAAAGAAAATAAAGTAAAATAAAGTAAGATAGATTAAGAATGCAAAATATAAAGAAAATACACCTTATACCTTGTGAAGGTATAAAAATAAAAATAAAAACAACCTTAAATCTATTTTTGGACTAGATGATCTTTGTAGTATCTAGTAGTCTTTCTGGATTTGAGAAGTCTTTTTGGAGTCTTAGCTAGGCTACTTTATCTGAGATAAATTTAGTCGATAGCTTTGGAGTACTAATTGACCATTCACGCCACTTGGGTAGTAGTAGTTTGTTGTATTTTACGTCCGCTTCCACCGAGGTGATATCGCAGACAATCACGTGTTATGTTTGATTAAGGATTTTTTTTTTTTTTTTTTTTTAGTCGATAGCAATAAAACTGTCAATGTTCGGATCGAAGCTGATCTCAAGAGGTGTTGAGGTTGAGGGATGGTAGCTGCATTCTTGGATGTTAAAGCTGCTCTCATTTATTTTTATTGCAGGTGGTCTTGGCTTTGTAAATTCGAAGCTTGTTTCTTTTGCTGCTGTTCTACCCCCCTCTTCTCTCCTTCGTTTCGGTGCCTTTGGTTCTATTGGCGGAGACTGTGTTACTGGCGGTGACTGGGTTACTGTTTCGATCACTGTTTTACTGTCCTCGACTGGCTTTGTTGCTTCTGGAACTGGGTGTTGTGCTGGCCGTTTGTTCTTTTCCCTTTCTGGGCCTCGAAAAGGGCACTCCTTGCGTGAGTGGCCCAACCTCTCGCATAGGAAGCATGGATAAGCTGGGCCTGGTGTTACGACTCGGACTCTGGCATCTCCGTGAGGGGTCTTCAGAACTATTATCTGTGGAATATTTTTCATTTCCTCCGTCTTGATTTATATTTCCACCTCTCTTACTCTCTTGTAAACTCTAGTGCCCGGCAGTCTTTGGTCTTTGAAGGATCTGACGTACCGAATATCGGTCATAATATTATGAAAATAGTCGTCTGAGTAAGAGACTGGAAAGTCATATACGGTGAGGGTTGCTACTTTCGAGAATCGTCTGAAGAATCTGTATTCTATCCCCATGTAGGTGTGGCTTTCTTTTTCTAGTAGTATGGTTTTCAAACCCCCCTCTCTCTCTAACTGAATTGAATCCACTGTGCAATCTTTAACATTCCGATAGTAGTCACTTTCTATGGCTTCAGAAGGTTTAGAAGCCATTCAATATGAAAAAAAATCGCTTTGTTCACTGCTCATTAGACACACCCGTACACATTGACGGTCTAATTAACTCTCAGTAACTGGATTACATGAGCCAGCCGCAACTCCCAGCTGATAAAATATTATTCATAACACCCCGATAAACAAAATAATAAGTGAATTTTTTACAATGTCAATAATTTAGCGGGGCCGCGCCAAAGGGTCCCAACAAGGATCCGCCACTATACGTGCTATGTTAACGCGTTAAGGGACGAGGTAACGAGACACTCGGCGGTTAATGTATAGGTATAACATATGATTCCAATATAACTGGTCTATTATTCAGGGTCTCAGGGTTGCAATATCACACACAATCACAAACGGCAAATCAGGATAAATTAATCCATTTATGTTGACGAGGATGTATATCAGTGTTCTGACGGGAATAGGGATTAACGTCCATTCGACTCAAACTAGGTTTTTTTTCGGAACTAACATATGGTTCAATTTTCTTTCAATAATTTGCTGCGAGTATGAATATTTAGCAGTTGGGTGGAGAAAACTCACGAGGTTAGACAGGCGACCCTACTCCTTTCCACGTACAAGCTGCGATCGAAACCACGCCACTTGGTTTAATATTCCAGTTAGCGCAGGAGTTAGCCAATCCAGAACAAATGTGGTCGTTATCCTGAAACACGCGTATTTGTAGTTATCTCCCCTTTTATTACACGTCATAATATGGTTGACTGATTCAACGAGATTTTGAAACGGAAAAGTGAATTTGTGAAGTCAAATCTCAATACATTGAAAACATTTTCCGCTGGGTTGATGTAAAACATGTGAAATTGGTGGGAAGATGTGTTAAAAAGGAACGGGTTCGATTATCCCACATAACAATATGATGTTAATTTTACGTTACATTTACGTAAAAATGGTCAGTCAGTTTACCATCATTTTGCTCATCTTTTTAACGATAATTTTACGTCAGGAAATGACGTTAATCTAACGTAAACTTTACGTCATTTTTACGTTATATTTACGTCATTTTCTGACGTAAATCTAACGTAAACTTTACGTCATTTTCTGACGTAAATCTAACGTAAAATTTGCGTAAAGTTTACGTCATTTTCGTTAGATTTACGTCAGAAAATGACGTAAACTTTACGTTAGATTTACGTCAGAAAATGATGTAAATATAACGTAAATATAACGTAAACTTTACGCTAGATTAACGTCATTTCCTGACGTTAAATTGTCGTTAAAAGGATGAGCAAAATGATGGATATCTAACCGACCATTATAACGTAAATCTAACATTAAATTAACATCATTTACGGATGCAATTCTAATGTCAAATTTTGATGACCAAAGTTACGAAAATATAACAAACCATTAAAACCTTCAAAATTATTCATTATTTGCGGCAGTAAAAGGGAAGTACATTCAATCAATAATCAAATTTTCCTGACCCGTGGGTGAGGCTAAAAGTTGAGTGGTCCAACGTGTGCGCTTTAGATCATAAGGTCTGTCATTGAGTCAAGTGGTTTGTTTCCACACCCAACTTGAACATGGGTTTTCTCTGGGTCCTCTTACTACTAAAGATTCCTGGTGCGGATGAATTATTCAACTTGAATTGAATCACTTAGTCCCAAAGGACAGTTTATGTCTATTGGATGTTTTACCCCATTGCTCTCTATCTACCCATAACCAGTCAGAATTCTAAATGTATTGCACAGAAAAGTTAAAAATCTAGCAGAATAATATGACAAAATATACTACAAGTATGTATACATATACTTTATTTAAAAGACAAAAATATAATGTTATAAAATACAAAATACACATTTAAATATTAACAGTTTTTATCCACAGCTGTTTGAGAAATGAAGACGGGCATATGCCACACAGTGTGCAGAGCTATGGCGTACTCTTATATAAAATTCCAACTGCCAAGGGATCTTTCACACACACACACTTGAGTTTACACTGTACCTTGTTTTTTTGGTCCCTTCCGTATGACTAGTCAGCCATCCATGTCAGGTCCTCTGTCCGGCATCACTGACAAGGGAAAATGTTCAAGAAAAAGGTCTACATTAGCGCTATGAAAGTGCTGATATGCATATAAGAAAGAAAAAACTGGGATATTGACCAAATTGGGCCAAAACCTATAGCCTCTATCTTATTTGCTCAAGGTATTGATGGAATAGGAGTTAACTTTGGAATGAGTGAAATGAAATGGGGTTTAATGTCCTATTCCGACAGGGCTAATGACATGGAAATATGCTATACAGTGTCCTATTATGGAATTTTATCCAGACAGCGGCGCTAAAGCCTACTCTTATATCGAATTCAAACTGCCAAGGGATCTTTCACGTGCACACCAATGTGTGCACAGGACCTCGGTCATTCGTACCATCCAAACGACTAGACAGCTGTCCCTCCTTGTCAGGCCCTCTGTCCTGCACCTCTGACAAGGGGAGGAAACCAAGTCTGGAAATCACGAAGAACTTTCTCGGCCGACACTGGAATGGAATGTTGTGGAATGCTGAATATTGATAGGTTTCGTCCTCTCATGATTCCAGTGTGTAACACAAATTTGAAAAAGATCAATTAAGAATAAACACAGCATCTATTGCATTTGAAAAAGGGAGAATTAACCAAGGAAGGCAAAGTCCTGAAAAGCTGTATATTGATAATGCTTGTCCTCTCACAATCGGAATGATTCACATTTCACACCCAGTGTACGGACAAACAGGGCCAAAATTGATATGTGGGTGTATAAACAAAGATATATACTACACCAATATTACATGTGTTGCAGAATTGGTTTAACACATTTCAAATATAATTGTAACACGGATATTTGCAATGGTTGATCCATGACAAAAGATTTGAAATATTTTGAAGAGACGCAAAAGGTTACGCCATACAGTGTGCTATAAGGGAAATTTTGCCCAGGCAGCAACGCTATGGCCTACTCTTGTATCGAATTCCAACTGCCAGGGGATCTTTTATGTGCATGCCAATGTGTACACTGGACCTTGGTTTTTTTTTTGTCCCATCCAAACGACTAGACAGCTGTCCTTGTCAGGCCCTCCATCCTGCATCACTGACAATGGGAAACCACACCGGAAAATCAGGATGAACTTTCTCGGCCAATGCAGGGATCGAACACCCGACCTCAAGGCTAGCGAGTCAGCGTCTTACCCACTTAGCCACATGATCCCCCCTTGGCCTATGTACATGTAGAGATGAATTTTGAGCTACCTTTATATATATATTTCTATTTTTAAAACCCGCGACAAGTATATTTATATCAAGGATGTAACCCTCTATCAGTTAACCCGTCACGGATTGGTTGCATTGGTGAACCGGTTCAAAATATTCGTTTCATATCATACCTGACCTTCAAATCCAGGAATTGTAGCCACAACGGGGATCACGTTGGTTAAGTCGGTAAGACACTGGCTATCTAGTCTGGAGGTCGGGTGTTCGATCCCTGCATTGGCCGAGAAAGTTATTCCAGATTTTCCGGCATGGTTCTCCCTTGTCAGTGATGCAGGACAGAGGGCTAGACAAGACAGCTGTCTAGTCATTAAAATAGGACAAAAAAATGAGGTCCCATGTACACATTGGCGTGCACGTACAAGAGCCCTTGAAGTTAGAATTCGATATAAGAGAAGGCCGTAGTGCCACTGTCCGGGCAAAATTTCCCACATAGCACACTGTATGGCGTATGCCCATCTTCATTAGCCCAGTTCAGAGCAAAACAGTAGGACGTTAAACTTTCATTTCACTAGCCACAGCTCTGTTTTCTTTCACCAAAGGGGGGGGGGTGGATGGCTGAATGGTTAGCGTGCGCGCACTGTATCATAAAGTCTGTCATTGAGTCGACTGGCGTGGTTTCGAATCCCCAGTTGTACGTGGCAAGGAGTAGGGTCGCCTGTCCAACTTCATGGGTTTTCTCCGGGTCCTCCGGTTTCCTCCCACTCCTAAAGACCCCTACGCGCAAGCGAATTATGTAAATAAAAAATTAAACCATATGTTAGTCCCGAAATGACCTAGTTTGTGTCGAGTGGACAGTAAACCCCATTTCTCTCTCTCTCTCTTTCACCAAAGGGGGGGGATCAAGTGGCTAAGTGGGTAAGACGCTGGCTCGCTAGCCTGGAGATCGGGTGTTCGATCCCTGTAAGTTCATCCTGATTTTCCGGCGTGGTTTCCCTTGTCAGTGATGCAGGATGGAGGGACTGACAAGGACAGCTGTCTAGTCGTTATGGGACGAAAAACTGAGGTCCCGTGTAGACATTGGCGTGCACGTAAAAGATCCCTTGGCAGTTGGAATTCGATATAAGAGTAGGCCGTAGCCCCGCTGCCCAGGCAAAATTTCCCTCATAGCACACTGTATGGCATATGCTCGTCTTCATTAGCCCAGGTTAGGAGCAGAATAGTAGGACGTTAAACCCCATTTCATTTCATTTCATTTCTTTCACCAAAGACCACATAAATACTTCATTTAGCACTTGTCATTTGAAACAGTTATAGCCTATGTCTTGTCTGGAAGAGGGGGCATCATCACATTACCATACAGGGTATAAGTCGATGTTGAGTATAAGTCAAATTGCCAAATTTTACATTTTTCCGACCTACATCCATAATTAAGTAGAGGCGGTATATAAGACTAATGTTTTTCAACTCCACGAGTTTCGAGACTGTTATCCTAGTCTAATACCGTGCCGGTGTACGCCGAAGAAAAGTTGGGCCATATAAATAATGAGGGCCTGGGACAGTTGTCAATAACACTTGCATTTATAAACAAACATGAATCGTGATGACGAATTAGGATTCAATAAAAAAAAACAACATAGATATGGCCCATGAAGAGAGAAATTTTACAATAAAAAAAAATTAAGAGTGTTGGATATTGAACTGACAATGCAATCAAATGGACTTTCGGAAATGGCATTCTTATATAAATTTCATGGGCGTCAACATCTTGTTTTAGGACTAGTTACCTTCCTTAGACTTTGTTTATGATAATGTAAAAGACCGGATAATCTAGCCTATGACCGATTATTCTCAAATGTTGACAACGCAACCACACTAATATTCGTAGAATATAGAATATTTTTTTCTAGATGATAGAGACTAATAATATGCCAACATTGAAATGTGTGCATAAATATGGTATATACTTAACTACACCAATATTATACCTATGTCATAGAATTTGTTACAAACATTACAAATATAATCTTAATAGAGATCTTTGCTATGGTTGATCTATCAGTAAAAATTGGAAGATTTGTAAGGAACGCAAAAGGTTATTGTTTACTGGCTGCAGCAGGGAGCAATAACAGGAACACAGATGATTTTCAACTCACTGATACAACTCAGTTTAAACTTTAAGCCAAAGAGCTGTTATATAATACTGTGACAGGATATCTGCTCTAAACTAACTAGTCATCAAAGAATTGACTGTCAAAAGTTCAGACAGAAAGTATTTTAGGCCTACAATGCTTGTAAAGCTTTGGCCTACATTCTGATGATATTTGTGCTACCATAGATACATATATATTTATATCATTACGTTATGTGACAAGTAGTAGTGTTTGGCAAGTAGTAGTGTTGTCTAACTATCATTATAAAGCCCATATAAATCTTTTTAGAACTTCTTTGTCATTACTGCCACCAAGGGTGCTCAAATATACATGTAGGATCTGTAAAAAAAAAAAAAAATAAATAAAAAGCAACTTTATACTCCCCAAAAAAACGTAATTGGGTTAAACGGCCTACTGTTCAGCTCCAACTGGGCTGACAGCCAACCTACTGTGGATCTGTAATGAAATGGGGTTCAACATCATACTGTTCTGCTCAAACTGGGCTAAAGAAGTTGGACAAATGCTTGAAAGTGTGCTGTGATGGAAATTTTGACTGGACCGTGTGTACAAAAGAGCTTGGTTTTTTGTCCTATCCGAACAACTGTACATTAGCCCTTACCAGCCCCTCTGTCTTGCACCAGTTAAAAGAGGAACCATGCCAGAAAATCCTGATGAACTTTCTTGGCCACCACAAGAAAAAATAAGCAGGGGAGTAGGACTGAAACCTTTATGTACAAGTATGTACGGGCAAACTTGTTATTTAATGTTATAGGCCTATGTATATAATTAGAGTCTTGATTATCCATTTTTCAATTAAATTAAATCATTAACATTAACCGCCAGTGTTTGAATCTGTGAACATCTCGAGTACCCGATGGCATTGAGACTTGATTATAGACTTAGCAAGTTAATACATTAAAATGTCTTATAAAAATTTTTAACATTTACAGTCTCAAGAAATACCTACTTAACCTACGTACAATATATAGATTTAGCTCTTGCATTATGCATTATTAAATTTGCAAAAATATCAGTACAATAACAACAAAAAAACCCAACCTGAAACACCCATAAAAATGTTTAGAAAATACTACATGTACTTATATTATAATCAGCACAGCCTGAATTTTAACAGTCTACATCATTAATAAATTCGTTATGTGTTTGATAATTTTTGGATCCAGATTTTTTAAAAACAATTTTGGAACCAGTATTACTTTCGATAACTTAAAGCAATGTTGATTTTGTTTATGAATAGTATGGTTTACGGACAATGTAACTGCATCGTGTTAAAAACAAATACTGACTGTCTGATATACAAAGTTGCGTGCAAACTTTTTCCACGGCCAGATTATTTTTTTTATCAACATTAGATCTATCGGTATACTGTCAACGGAAGTTCGCATAAAAAGTGCACTTACCTTCAACTTTACTTTGCTGAATCCAAAATCGTGTGTGTATGTGTGGAATAGCTTTATTTAACTTTAAATCACGGCATCATTTCTTCTTTGGGAAAAATAATAATTACATTATGCCGCCATTTTAAATCCCAGAATTCCGTACGTTCCGGTCAAACGAACAAACAAAAAATATTTAATAAATAATTGAAGCGATTTAGATAAATAACAACAATAACCGTAACCTATAAAAAAAATATTGTAATGTGAATAGAAATAATATGATATAAACCGATTTAAACACAATCATCAACCGTGAACAGATCGTGACCTTGACCTTGCCCGAGTCGATAAAAATATATTTTTACATCTATGTAGTTCTAAAAATGGCGGCTGTTCGTTTGAAAGGCCTGTAATATTTCTGATAATGAATCTATTCATATAATTTGTTTGTATACGCTCTACCATATTTTATATGAGGTTACATAATTATGTTATATTAAAAGAATAATCAAATCGGGGAATTTTAATTTTCAGAGATAGGTCTTTTATCGAGAGACGATAAATATATGGACTTTTTTAGCTAGAGTAGATCTCTATGTTAATTGACTGGGTCATTAATATGTAACAGGCATTGCCTGAGTAGAGCGAAGCTGATTATTGTCAAATATAAAACCTTCATAATTAATTTTCTCAAGTGATACAAAAAATGTTAAATAATTTAGTTTTTCAAAATTGATTTTTATTTAGATCTAAATTTTATACATTAATTTTGTTTTTAAAAAAAAGAACAAAAAAGTGTGAGAATTATTTTCATTGACGTAAAAAATATGTGACGTCATTGATTAGACGCATCATAGAAATAGTTCTATGAGGCGCGTAATCTTGCTTGGACGAGATTTGGTAAGTTGACATGCGCATTGCCTGTTTTCTCCAGTGTATCCGGTTTCAGTCTGAATTTTTTCTTAATCAACAGTCTGTGGGTAACATTTTCAATTACGCTCCTGTGTTACCGGAAAAGAGCTTTGCTCAAGCACCGCGCTTCGCGCGATGCTGTAGAGCTTCGCTCTATCTTATCTATTTTTCAGATTCATAACTTAAAAAAATGGAACTAGTCTTGGTCCAACCTTTATTTTTATATGGTTTTACAACTTATATAATTAAGTGTTGAACTTTTAAATTCGAAATAAAAAAACGGCACCAATCGACTCATGACCTATTTTATATATTAGGCGTTTTTGTGAGTCGATTAGATTAGGTTTTGATTTGCTAGTACGATTTGGTATGATTTCGATTTGATTAGCTATGGTCCACAAATGTGAAATTTGATAATTACGATTTGGTAAGATGGCTGCCACCACGGACACCGATCAGAAAAAAAATTGTCTCTGGTAACATGACGAGGGGGGCGTGTGTTTCACGTGTAGTCCAAGTTACCTACAGATTACAGTGACACTGCTGGCACCTAGAGGGCCTAAAATTGCTTAGAGCCAGAGGTGATCTAACATTCTTGTGGACTATAAAGTTAACATTAAAGGAGCTAAATCGCTAACATTTGGGACCTAGAAATTGACAAAAGTGGGTCGCAATGCATATAATACTGTAGTATGAATGTATATAAACTGATTTACATTCAATGGTTTCCGTTTTTACTCCAATTTCAAATCCGTTATGTTCGGCGAAATAAGCCAGCAGTCTCAAGCGAGTGCAAATTTCTAGCGTCTGGTTATTCCAGTTTACATACGCCGTTTGATTTGGTGCAATGTGTCTAGCCTCGTCCCTCGAGTCTCTTGATACAACTAGGGCTGAAGCGCATTATGGTACACGATTCGTGTACCAATGGTAAAATGTTTATTTTGTCTTAAATATTGGATATCAAAAGCCCATCTTTTCCCGTTAAGATCACAACATGAATGTTGATATAATTTGACAAATAAATCGTGTTTTCAATGTTGAAGATTTTGGATGATATTGAGTTAGAGACTTAGCTACTTTAAACACATCAAATGCGTTTTAAAAAAACATTTTTTATGGAGAAAAACAACAATAAGCATTAAAAATTACTTACGATGTCGAACATTCCGCCATTTTGAAAACGTCAAATCTAATCGCCTAAACACCTCCTGGGACGATTAGGTCGATTTTCCTAATCAGTTGAGTTAAATCGTCTCACAAATGTAACGATTAGCATAATCAACTTGGTTCACAAATGCGTATAATAGCTAATCGGTCTAATCTAATCGGTTCACAAAAACGCCTATTGTATATGTAGACAGCCGCCATTTTAAATGACATTAACAACACACATTGATTTAAGCTCTGAGTGAGCTAATGAAGACAGGCATACACTATATACAGTGTACTATGACGGAAACTTTGCACGGATAGCGGCACTATATGGCCTACTCTGATATTGAATTACAACTGTCGGAGTGTCTTTTACGTGCATGCCAATATGTACATGAGGACTTGATTTTTCGTATGACCCGAACAACTATACCTTATCCCTTGCCAGATCCTCCGCCCTGCCACAGTCCATAGAAAATTTCCGTCATAGCACTCTGCATTGCGTATGACTATCTTCAATAGTCCGACTGGTGCAGAAAAGTATGAAAATGAATTTTAAATGGGGTTTGAACATCCTACTATTTTATTCCAAGTGGGCTAATGAAGAAGGGCATATGCTATAATGGTTAGAATGTTGTGATTTCGGGTTAAAATGCCGTGATGTTGGGTTATCGCCTTACGAAGGGTGATATCAGTCACCATATCTACTGGGTTTCTTTAATACTCATATTTATAGTATTTTATAGAGTCAGACTAGTGGACTAGTGAATGCACGGATTAGTGCACCTATTGGTAATGACTATATGCGGAAATGCTGCTCTCCAGGCAAAATGTCTTTCCTAGCACATCTTCATTAGTAAGTGCGGTAATGCTGCTGTCCAGGCAAAATTTCTGTCATAGCACATCTTCATTACTAATTTTGATAAAGCCACGGTGGCTAAGTGCGTAAGATGCTGGCTCGATAATCCAGAGCACGTGTTCGATCCCTGCATTGGAAGAGAAAGTTCATCAGGATTTTCCGACATGGTTTCCCCTTGTCAGAGGTGCAGGAACAAGGACAGTAGTCTAGTCACTCAGATGGGACAAAAAACCGAGGTACCATGTATACATTGGCTTGCACGAAAAGATTCCTTGGCAGTTGGATTCGATATTAGTAGGCCATAGTGCCGCTGCTGGGGCAAAATTTCCCTCATAGCACATTGTATGGTATGTACCTGTCTGCATTAGCCCAGTCGGAGCAGAACAGTAGGACAATAAACTGATTTCATCAGGACAAATCTACATGAGGAAAAACCTACATTTCACAAACTTAGTAATTAGTAACGGGGGGGGGGGGGGGGGGGGTTGGATGGCTGAATGGTTAGCGTGCGGGCGCTGTATCATAAAGTCTATCATTGAGTTGACTGTCGTGGTTTCGAATCCCCGGTTGTACGTGACAAGGAGTAGGGTCGCTTGTCCAACCTCCGGTTTTCTCCCACTGCTAAAGACCCCTACGCGCAAGCGAATTATGTAAATAAAAATTAAACTATATGTTAGTCCCGAAATGACCTAGTTTGTGTCGAGTAGACGTTAAACCCCATTTCTCTCTCTCTCTCTAGTAATTAGTAACACACTGGCTAGCAAATGAGGGGTTCAATTTCCGTGTTTGTCGAGAAAAATGAAATGAAATCGGGTTTAATGTCCTACTGTTCTGCTCCTAAACTGAGCTAATGAAGACGAGCATACGCCATACAGTATGCTATGAAGGAAATTTTGCCCAGGCAGCGGCGCTATGGCCTACTCTTATATCAAGTTCCAACTACCAAGGGATCTTTCATGTGCACTCCTGTGTGTACACGTGACCTCAGTTTTTCATCCCTGACTAGACAGCTGTTCTTGTCCGGCCCTCCGTCCTGTATCACTGACAAGGGGAAAACACGCAGGAAAATCTGGATGAACTTTCTCAGCCAATGCAGGGATCGAACACCCGACCTCCAGGCTAGCGAGTCAGCGTCTTACTTACTTAGCCAACGTGATCCCCATGTTGATCGAGAAAGTTCCCTTTGTTAGTAGTGGTGTAGGACAGAGGACCCCAAAAAAACAGTGTCTAGTCCATCACGTGGGTGTGCACGTAAAAGAACCCTTGACATTTGGAATTTGAAATGAGAGTAGATCATTCATTCATTCGTTTTCTCTTTGTGTGTCACCTACAGTTCGCAACTATTAAAGGAGCTAGATCTCTATTCTTGGGCACTTAGAAATGAAATGAAATGAAATGGAGTTTAACGTCCTACTTTTCTGCTCCTAACCTGGGCTAATGAAGACAGGCATACGCCATACAGTGTGCTATGAGGGAAATTTTGCCCGGACAGCGGCACTAAGGCCTACTCTTATATCGAATTCCAACTGCCAAGGGATCTTTTACGTGCACGCCAATGTGTACACGGGACCTCGGTTTTTCGTCCCATCCGAACGACTAGACAGCTTTCCTTGTCAGCCCCTCTGTCCTGCATCACTGACAAGGGAGAACCACGCTGGAAAATCTGGATGAACTTTCTCGGCCAATGCAGGGATCGAACACCCGACCTCCAGGCTAGCGAGCTAGCGTCTTACCCACTTAGCCACGTGATCCCCCACTTAGAAATGGATATAAAATGTAATGAAATGAAATGGGGTTTAACGTCCAACTGTTCTGCTCCGAACTGGGCTAATGAAGATGGCCATACACCATACAGTGTGTTATGAGGGGAATTTTGCCCCGACAGTGGCACTACGGCCTACTCTTATATCGAATTCCAACTGTCAAGGGATCTTTTACATGCATGCCAATGTGTACACGGGACCTCGTTTTTTTTTTTTATCCCATCTGAACAACTAGACAGCTGTCCTTGTCAGGCTCTTCGTCCTGCATCACTGACAAGGGGAAAAAACGCCGGAAATCTGGATGAACTTTCTCGGCCAATGCAGGGATCGAACACCCGACCTCCAGGCTAGCGAGCCAGGGTCTTACCCATTTTTGTCCCATTTTAATGACTAGACAGCTGTCTTGTCAGGCCCTTAATTGTTAGTATCATGACATTAAACTGACATTTGTTTTACGTTTTACAACTAATATCAGGTTTATGTTAGAAAACTTACGTTAGATTTATGTTAGAAAACTAACGTTAGATTTACGTCAGAAAACTAACGTTAGATTTACGTCAGAAAACTAACGTTAGATTTACGTCAGAAAACTAACCATAAACTAACGGTTAGAAACCTGATGTAAAATTTACGTTAGATTAACGTTAGAATTATAACCAATAATACATATATAATTATTATGTCTGAATTCCGACTATATATCAATTGTTAGAATGTGCACACACTTGTAATGTTATTTAATCAAGAAGTATTCAAAGGGAAAAAAATTGGTTAGTAATCCGTCATAAAGTTTACGTTACATTTACGTCATTTTCTGACGTAAAAGTAACCATAACCATTATGACGTAAAAGTAACGTAAATTTAACCAAAGAATTTTACCATTATTGGACGCTAACCAAAATCTAACCATAATGACGTAAACTTTACGTAAATCTAACCATCAATGTTAACTGGGATATTGAACGGGCTACTAACAGATGCCTATTCACAGGTATTATTTATAACACCCCAATAAACAGAATGATAAGTGAATTTTTTACACTGTCAATAATTAGAGGGAAGACAAATCGATAATCTAAGGCTCGGCGACTGTACATCTATGTATTTAAAGGCAGCAGCTGTCCTTAAACATACATTATGCAAGAGCTAAATCTGCCTATTGCAGGTCTTTCATTAGGCCTGAAATGTTATCTAAATTATTAATTAGACATTAATTAACTTATCCAGACCATAATCAACTCTCGATGGCATCGCTAGCCTGCGATGTTTATTGAATTACGTTCCGATTTGCTGTTCGACTTCCATTCATAATGAAATAAAAAAAAGGATAATCGAGACTATGTTTTTATCCTACCTAACCTAACAGGTCAAAAGCCACTCGTATGACCCCTGATGCGACCTCCCACTACAACTGGTCAGATCTTCATGTAGTATCGGCCTTCGAAATTATAAAAAAAAAAACACGAAACGAAATATAGATGTGTATTTTAATCAGATTGTGGGACGTGTAACTGAATACAAACATTATTCCCATGCATGTGTGTCATGGTTCATTGACCTTTTTTTGTTTCATCTCAACTCATTTCTTGCCTGCTGTTAAATAATAAAACATTGTAAAAATATATTGTTTAGATTTATTATAAAGAAATGGCAATTCTTAAATTAATTTCATGGCCGTCGAGATCTTGTTTTAGGGAGTTACCCCCCTTAGATTTTGTTTATAGTAATGTAAAAGACCGGATAATCTAGCCAATAACCTAGTTGTTCTCAGATGCCTACAGTGACAACCCATCCAGACTAATATTCGCAGGCGAGCCACGTGACATTTAGGTAAGCGAGCCATGGCCCCTCCTTGTTCACCAGGTGTTCCCAGGCAGTCACCCATCACTAACCAGGCAGAGAGAAAAGGGGTGAGGTAGGAGCCGTATTAGAGCAGGCCATCCAGGGTAAGGCTCTGTCCAGTCGCCTTGCCCTTTTAATAATATGGTTTATTGATAGGACTAAGTTACTCATCCGAAGGCTAATGTTTTTACTGACAAATGAGAAACAATGTGCAATCTATAGTAGCTTTAAATATTAAGTTAGAGTTTGTGAACAATACAATGACGAAATCTGTCGACTTTGAGCAATTCCAAGATTTCTGAAAAAAAAGAAACAATATAAATTATACAAATATAATATAAATTATAGCAATTATCTTTTTGGGGTGGTCCTGCCTCCAACATTATCATAACAACCTTTTCAGATCGGCAGAACATAAATTTTGAACTAAATTATATAGAGGAAATAAAATTTAATAGTTACGACCGTTTTCCATTTACGTGTTTTCGGTTTAATGGAAATGTAATGGAACTATTTCCATGTAATCGGCAGAAATTACGCGAAAATTTGCACATGGAAAAAGGTCCTTAGCCTGAATTAGTATGGAAAGGGAAATTCGATTTAACATCCAATTGACATAAACTAGGTCATTTCGGGACTAACCTATGATATAATTTTATTTTAATAATTTGGTTGAGCATAAGAATCTTTAGCAGTGGGAGGATACCGGAGGACGGGATCTAAACCACACACCACTTGACTCAATTACAGACCTTATGATCTATTGCCCCCCAATCTGTAATGTAAATCATCTGTAATGCCAACCCCCGCCCCAACAGACAAAATACCACAACAAATATATATATATTATTTACCTAACTAACTTCCCACATTTAATACCAGACAACATCGCATCTTTATCTTTGGTACTTATACATCTATCATAGGCTTCCATTAAACTATAAAGAGAGAAAGAGAGAAATGGGGTTTAACATCCACTCGAAACAAACTAGAACATTTCGGGACTAACATATTGTTAAATTTTATTTCAACACTACACTTGCGTTATCAGTGGGAGGAAACCGGAGAACCCGGAGAAACCTCGTGAGTTTGGAAGGCTACCTACTCCATGTCAGGTTCTCACGTACAACCGGGGAATCGAAACCATGCCAGTTGACTCAATGACAGACCTTATGATACAACGCGCACGCACTAACCATTCGCCGCCCCCTCCCCATTAAACTATACAATATAATTTATCTTTCATTATTACAGGCTTCCATTAAACTATAAAATATAATATATATATCATTATTACAGGCATCCATTAAACTATAAAATATAATATATATATCATTATTATAGGCATCCATTAAACTATAAAATATAATATATATATCATTATTACAGGCATCCATTAAACTATAAAATATAATATATATATCATTATTATAGGCATCCATTAAACTATAAAATGTAATATATATATCATTATTATAGGCATCCATTAAACTATAAAATATAATATATATATCATTATTATAGGCATCCATTAAACTATAAAATATAATATATATATCATTATTATAGGCTTCCATTAAACTATAAAACATTATACACTATACACTGTATTCCAAGTATCATCTAATCTTGTGTATCTAGCATTAATTTCTTTAACATTAAAGGAGCTAAATCGCTAATGTTTTGGGCCTAGAAATTGGCACAAATGGGTCGCAACACATATAATTGTCATCAGTTATGTTCGGCGAAATACGCCAGAAGTCTTAGCCGAAAGACAGTTTCTAGCGTCTGGTTATTCCAGTCAACACCGATAGTATATATTGCGCATGCTCTCCACATTAGAATATGGCATCACCGTTTGACATGACTTGTGGAATATGTCTAACCCTCATTCTTTGAGCACCTTGTTACAAACGGCGCTGAAACGAATTATGGTACACGATTCGTGTACCAATGGTAAAATGTTTATTTTGTTTTAAATATTGGATATCAGAAGCCCATCTTTTCCAGGTAAGACCACAATACCAATGCTGATTTAAATTGCAAAAAAAATCGTGTTTTCAATGTCGAAGATTTTGGATGATATTGAGTTACGGACTTGGCTACTTTAACTCAATATCAAATCTCTGTTTAAAAAGACTAGGGCCATATCAATCTGGTTTGCGCATCCATAAGTATTTTCACCCACCCAGCCTGTCCACAACTCCAGTGATGCTTACTGTGAGGGGTATGATATTTATCTGTAACAGCTTTAATTAATGTGATACTTACTGTGACGGGTATGATATGATTCAACGAGATCTTGAAGCCACGAAGTGAATTAGCGAAGTCAAATCTGAATACATTGAAAACAATTTGGGCTGGGTTGATGTGAAAATGTGGAATGGGTGGGAAGATGTGTTCAAAAGAAATGGGTTCGATTATTTTGGACGGGCTACTAACAGATGCCTATTCACAGGTGCGATCCCACTACTGCCGGACACGGGGACTTTTGCCTGCTGCATTTCTGCCCTGGGCCGGTTCGTCCCTCCTTAGACAACCTGGATACTACGGGCTCCCCCATTGAATCCATATTGATGCCTGGCTTAGTGCGGACACCTGATCGACATAGCACACCTGAGAGCAGGAATCCCATTCTCAAACCGTCCTCCATTCCAGGCCTCTAAGTAGCTAGATTACAGGAGCCCGCCGCAACTCCCAGCCGCTTCAGTAAAGATTAAATACACTAATAAACTTCACTTACATCCTTCGACCGCAAGACAGGGTTGCAGTATTACACAATTACAAACGGCAAATCAGGATAAAATAATCAATTTACGTTGATTGTCTATTGACGACTACGTATATCAGTCTTTTGACTGGAATAGGGATCAACGTCCATTCGACACGAATTCGACGTTTTCGGGACTAGCATATGGGTTAATTTTATTTCAATAATTTAGGTGTGAGTATGGATATTTAGCAGTTGGATGAAACTCGAGGGCCCAGAGATAACCCACGAGTCCTTTCCACGTGCAAGCTGAGATCGAAACCACGAAACTTGGGTTAATGATAGACCTTATAATCCATTTAAAGCAGGGGTTCGCCATTCCAGACCAAATGTGATTTGAGACCGGAAACACTCGTATTTGTAGTTATCTCCCTGCTATTACAAAAGTGAATAAATTAACATTCCATATGGTAGACTGATTCAACGAGATCTTGAAGCCACGAAGTGAATTAGCGAAGTCAAATCTGAATACATTGAAAACAATTTGGGCTGGGTTGATGTAAAAATGTAAAATGGCTGGGAAGATGTGTTAAAAAGGAACGGGTTCGATTATATTGAACGGGCTACTAACACATGCCTATTCACAGGTGCGATCCCACTACTGCCGGACACGGGGACTTTTGCCGGACACGGGGACTTTTGCCTGCTGCATTTCTGCCCTGGGCCGGTTCGTCCCTCCTTAGACAACCTGGATACTACGGGCTCCCCCATTGAATCCATATTGATGCCTGGCTTAGTGCGGACACCTGATCGACATAGCACACCTGAGAGCAGGAATCCCATTCTCAAACCGTCCTCCATTCCAGGCCTCTAAGTAGCTAGATTACAGGAGCTCGCCGCAACTCCCAGCCGGTAAATATTATTTATAACACCCCAATAAACCGTAAGTTTGGCTCCTTGAAAGGACTTGCCTTCCAGTGACCTCACTAGTACGACGTGAGGCTGTTCCTCTCTCCTTTTTGCCGCAGGAAAGAACTTCGGTGCAGGGCTGCTATAAAAAGCGTCAGCCATGGACATGGGTGCGCTAGCCTCTGTCGATTGTCATCGTTCTTATGCTGCCGAAAGATACAATTGAAAACAAAAGGAGGGACTGAACAGTATGGATTAAAGGCTCAATACCACTCTTGTTGTAACTGAATAATATGTCCCAATCTTTATTCTGGTCAACAAATTGTACTATTTTACAATATTTCAATTAATTGATGATACAAATTTCATCTTAACACACCTTATTTAAAAATTTTGAAAAATTCAACATAATGGTTTGAAACGTCTAACGTAAACCTTTTCAAATGAAACTTCGATTTAAAAATATTTTAGAACCCTCTGGACAAGTAAAATAGGATGTAATGGATAATTTACACAACAGGTAGGACACTTAAACATCTTGTACTTAGATAGAGATATTATTTATTTTCTGGAGCTTTCAAGCCAGCAAGAGTGTTATTGTCCCTTTAAGGATGTATTCTGTCGTTAATTATTGACGTAAGCTGATATACCTGTTGTTACCCCTTTCCACAAAGAAGCGCTAGTCAACCAGTGTTATTAATACTAATTAATTATGGGTTCCTATTGCTTGTATGAGTGTAATTAAACAGTTATCAGGCTTGTTAGCTATAGAAACAAATTAGCTTGTTATTGTTTTAAGAAGCTTGTGACGAGTTCAATCAGTTGATTGGCTTGTACACTGAGCTTCTTTGTTAGTAGATGATAGAAAGAAAAGTAAAATGATTAAATAGATACAGAATAGAGAAATAAATAAATAAATAAAGTGGTATATAGAGTTGAAAAAGGGGTAAAAAGAAGAAGTAATAAAAAATAGATTAGATTAGGAGTGGACAAAATATGAAATAGAAGGAGAATTTAAGAAAATAAGCTTATATCTAATATATAGAAATAAGGTAAAAATAATATTCTAACAATAAGGCACTGAGGAAGGAGGTAAGGAAAAGAAAATAAAGTAAATTAAAGAAAATAAAGTAAAATAAAATAAGATAGATTAAGAATGCAAAATATAAAGAAAATAAACCATATACCTGGTGAAGGTATAAAAATAAAAATAAAAACAACCTTAAATCTATTTTGGACTAGATGATCTTTGTAGTATCTAGTAGTCCTTCTGGATTTGAGAAGTCTTTTTGGAGTCTTAGCTAGGCTACTTTATCTGAGATAAATTTAGTCGATAGCTTTGGAGCTCTGGTGCATTAGGGGTTATCAGTACGAGTACTAATTGACCATTCACGCCACTTGGGTAGTAGTAGTTTGTTGTATTTTACGTCCGCTTCCACCGAGGTGATATCGCAGACAATCACGTGTTATGTTTGATTAAGGATTTTTTTTTTTTTTTTTTAGTCGATAGCAATAAAACTGTCAATGTTCGGATCGAAGCTGATCTCAAGAGGTGTTGAGGTTGAGGGATGGTAGCTGCATTCTTGGATGTTAAAGCTGCTCTCATTTATTTTTATTGCAGGTGGTCTTGGCTTTGTAAATTCGAAGCTTGTTTCTTTTGCTGATGTTCTACCTCCCTCTTCTCTCCTTCGTTTCGGTGCCTTTGGTTCTATTGGCGGAGACTGTGTTACTGGCGGTGACTGGGTTACTGTTTCGATCACTGTTTTACTGTCCTCGACTGGCTTTGTTGCTTCTGGAACTGGGTGTTGTGCTGGCCGTTTGTTCTTTTCCCTTTCTGGGCCTCGAAGAGGGCACTCCTTGCGTGAGTGGCCCAACTTCTCGCATCGGAAGCATGGAGAAGCTTGGCCTGGTGTTACGACTCGGACTCTGGCATCTCCGTGAGGGGTCTTCAGAACTATTATCTGTGGAATATTTTTCATTTCCTCCGTCTTGATTTCTATTTCCACCTCTCTTACTCTCTTGTAAACTCTAGTGCCCGGCAGTCTTTGGTCTTTGAAGGATCTGACGTACCCAATATCGGTCATAATATTATGAAAATATTTGTCTGAGTAAGAGACTGGAAAGTCATATACGGTGAGGGTTACTACTTTCGAGAATCGTCTGAAGAATCTGTATTCTATCCCCATGTAGGTGTGGCTTTCTTTTTCTAGTAGTATGGTTTTCAAACCCCTCTCTCTCTCTAACTGAATTGAATCCACTGTGCAATCTTTAACATTCCGATAGTAGTCACTTTCTATGGCTTCAGAAGGTTTAGAAGCC